GCATAAGACTAAAGTGCTTATGCACATACATACGCATCCAAAATCATTCCTCTTTATCATGATGATGATCGTCATTAACCACTAAAGTCACAAGTAATCGACATGCACATTTGCGAAATAGGAGACATTGAAAAATTAGTCTGTTATTAGATATTTCTTTTTTTGCCTGTTTGCCTATCTATCTAAAACAAGCATTTTTTTGTATATGTATTTCATAGAAAGGTTAGAAGCAATTTTTATAAAGACCTATGAGTATAGAAGAACCCCATAGTCGAATAAACTTATCATTGATGTATAACAGAAGAACAAAAATAAAGATTTGGTTCTGTTTATTAGACAACGAGAAAAGAAGAAAATATAAACTGATGGTTGACTTAGATTATATATCAACTATTTATGTCTGTGATAGGATTTTAGTCTTTTCTTTTTCTTTCAATCAAGTATGCATTTCTTATATAGAGTTAAAAAATAATTGAACAACAATTTTGATATTAAAAAAGAAGCCAGAATAAAAATGTTGAATTGTTGAAGTTGGAAGTAGAATTCTTATTAGATGTACTTTTCCTTAGACTAAATCGAATATGTTTAATTGACTAATTGTTTATTTGAGAAACCACTTGACATCTTCTCCGATTTTACTCTTTTCTTCAAAATAAGATAATAATGATTATTCGCACTTCTATAGAGATACTAATATTCTTGTCATTTTCTATCCAATACTTACAATAGGTATGTGTGAATGAAACTGGTGAAATAAATACAGCTATTATGCTTCATTTCTATTTTCTTTTCTCTCTCTCTCTCTTTCTCTCTCACATTCATATTCCTCTTTTTCTCGTCGCAGTTCTTCTTCTTGTTTTACTCGTCTATTCTTCCATGCTTTCCTATCTTTTGCATGCTCCTGATGCTTGCTCACTCTGTTTAATAAGACATTTGTTCGCGTCAGCCAGCCTGCCTGCCTGCCTCAAGCAGCTCTCATTTTTCTCTCCCCCAGTTCTCCTCCCTGTCGTTTCATGCTTTTCCACTATAATAAACTGAGAGAATAATGTAAAAAAAAAAAGAAGAAAAGTGTCGTGAGTGACGCGCTCGCTTTCGCTGAACTAACAGGACGAGTATAAATTCCGAGGTTTTCATCTTTTTCTATTGAGAGTACATAAGGGAGTTATTTCCTTCATTCTCTTCTTGTTTTCCATCATCATCATCATCATCATAATTATCAGCGTTTTTCTTTCATTATGGTCTCTTAGTTTGCTTTTCTGTTCTATTCTGTCACTACAACTTCTACTATTACATCTGTAAATCTGTTAATAGATTTTTAAAAAGGATAAGCATTGCTGTTCTGACTATCAACGAACGACAAAGCAAACAAGAAATAAATGAGATGCACGCTCAGTTTTCTTCTCCTATCTTTTTGTTTCCGTTATGTCGAGACATGTTTTCATGCGAACGGATGAAAAATGATCTAGGTGTCGTAGCTATTTTGCTCTCGATGAGAGCGATAATGATGTCGTTAATGAATGTTGTATCTGTAATTGAATCGAAAGCTCGTGTTTGTACCAGGACAAGTTCTGTGAACATTGCCGACAGATGCAATAGGGCTAGGACGGAAATAGAAAAGCTTCTTAATCGAATTGGTCCGATCGACAACTATACGAATATGTTGAATGTTTCTATTTGCTTATTATTAGGATGTACTCTTTTTTTTTTGGATTGCACATCACATTTACTACGGAAATAACATATGACAGGAGGAGAAAGACTAAAAAAAGATAGATAGAACATCCCAAAAGATTACTTTCTTGATTGATTATCACGACAACATCGCTTTATATTTATATGACCGATCTAATAATATAAATCTATGGTTTATGAAAAAAGAAAAAGCCTAGTAGTCATCTATGCTAAATTGAAGATTAAGAAATGTCTTATAATAAGAAAAAAAAAACCTCATCTTTATTAGAAAAAAAACCTTTGCATGTTGGATGAGCCTGTCAAACAGAGTAAAGGAAATGAAACGACGTGCATGTTATTAGCAAAGAAAAAAACCTGTAACCTTTTGATTAAAAAGCTTTATCTTTGATGGTAAAACAAAAAAGAAGACTGAAAATCAAGGCAACTGACTATATCTAAGAAATTAAAATGTTTTCAAGATAAAAAATTCAAGTACGTCTTAAATTTTATTTGATTAGCAAGATAATATTTATTTCATGAATCATAGTTAAAATAAGCCGACTTTATAAAATATAAGCATTTGACTTCATTTATTAGGTTAATAAAAAGACATACTGTACCCATTATTAGTAATAAACTACAGAAAATTAGCAAACAAATAATCTTTAGAATGAATGTAAGAAAAATTTTTCTATAACAATTTTAAATGAATATTGAACAGATTCTTTGATAATATTCATCATTAGTTCTTATCTTATCCCTCTATAACCGATTTAGAACTGTTGCAACGAAAGGTAATATTATGGTATTTATTTTTGCATTAAACAATACTGAATCGTTACGTGCCAATCATGTTGTATATGCTTATGTGACTGCAAATCATTAAAATATAAAGGTTGCCCAATTAACGAACTTGTTCTCTTCCTTGAGACTCATTGATTAAGAAATTCTTGCTCGTATACATGACCATCGAAAGCACGAACAGATTCTTGACATAGTTCAAGTGTAATTAGAAAAATTATATTTAATTCATCATTTGTGTTTTCAAGCGAAGATACTGATGCTGCGTGCATTTATAGAGGGAGAGGAAAAAAAAGCAACGATGATTTTACCATCGCATTATAAAATGCTAAGAAAAATTGATAATTTTTCTCATCTGAACTATCAGGCTGCTTTTCTAAGAATATTGAAGAACAAAACTAATAAGAAAAAAAATTCCATTGATGAAAACATGAAAAGAAAAACTTGTTTTCTATTCATAAACAAAGACATATGAATCAAACAAAACAGTTTATACATATATACATGAGTAAAAAAAACGAAATATTTCAATACATTTCAACAGAATTAGTCGTTACAAATTATATGATTCAATTGTTTTAATGATAAAATAGTTTAGCAAATGAAAATTCAAGTGTAGATCACAAGTGAGCAAAATAACACTAATAAATCTGTGTTTTTTCAATTATAGATACATGTATTAGCTATCTCTGTTCATTTTTTCATAATTATGATATACAAGAAAGAAGTTATATAAACAAAAATAAGCTTTAAAGAAGATTAACTTCTAAAAAAGAATATATGACTTTACTCTGTAACTTTAAACCTGTTTTTTTCTTTTCAACATAATGTATTCTTTTTTTGTGTGCTTTTTAAGTAATAGAGGATACTCGATATTACCTTACATCTCTTATTAGTCATTTGAAAAATAGATGAAGATTATTTTTGCAAAAAAAAGAAAAAGAATTACGCCGACAAAATAAATCACTATATATGTTGATGCAAATAACTGTTTACATAGTTTTCATATGATTGATTGAAAGAACAACATGCATATAATTAGAATTTATCTTTGCGTTTGACATATTGAATCAATGGTTGACTACAACAAAAAAACAATCAACTCCTCATTCGTAATACTTCTTTTTTTGTTTATAACAAAACCAATTTATAGGTTTTTTGAATATAATGTCAAATAAATCATTATAGAAAATAATCTTGCACTAATCTCTTTGTAATCGAAAGTCAATGTTGAACACTACGGTTTCGACCAGCTTTCAGTTCACAATTCCAGTCAAATGAACAAATGGGCTGTTCGAACAGATTAGATCATATCATAAGACCTGTTCCATTAGTGTCAGCTCCTAGAATTGGGCTGCTCAAAAACCTTTTTTGTCTGTTTTAGAAACGACAATGCAGTAAGAGAGCAAAAGTTTTTTTTTGTATACTTTGCTGTGTCATTTCCAAAAAACAGATCAAAAGTTTCTTAAACCGGGAAGTGCCTCTCTTAAAAGAAGCTCGTCAGTGCAATTCCTTTGGGGCTAAGATATGGAATATACATGTGCTCTCTAATCTCATTATACTAAGATAAAATACGTAAAGTGGAAAAACCTCTTGTAGACTACAGTTTTTTTTTCAAGATAATCGATCGTCAGAGAAGTTATCCTTCTTATTTATTAATGTATTTCTAACAGAAATTTTTCCAATTTATTTGACTGGCGGTTTTTTTTTTTGTTTATCTTGTTGCTATTCTCTCGTTGTTTTTCTTCATTGAACATTTTTATTATTCTAACCATTGATTTAACTGGTAAATAAGCCTGTTGTACATATTCATCGAATTTAGAGCAGATCTCAATGCCCTGTTATGTATATTGATAGGTTCAAAGGCACACTAACATTGATCATTTTCTAAAGCTATAACTTGATCAGTTCACGTTCTTTTATGTTAATCGTATGACGATTGTGATACATCATTGTATCATTATTCATCATACTTCACATAATGAATATAAATTTTTATCTGCATAAAAGTCAAAGACTGCACTATTTAGAACATTTACATACATATTTCAGTTATTCTAAATTTGGAAGGAGGCTTTAAAATGTTAACTTTTGCTACTAATGGCGTTCAACATCTACTCTCGTTGCTAAGATCTGTAATGGTGGAGGAGAACCGTAAAACTTCGATTTAAAACTTATACTTACTATTTTCTTAGAAAATATATGAGAATTCTACGACAGAGAGCAAGCATATTTTGGACAGCTCGGTTGTTAGAAACTGAACTAGCCGACATCTATTGAATACACCAGTTTAATAGAACGTGATTGATAAATAGCGCCCTCTCTATTGGATTAATTAATACTAATTTTTAAATCAATTATAATCATTTTTTTTGCGGATTAAATTTACATAATACTCTACTGATTGTTAACTTTTACAAAGTAAAATTTATTCGAATCAGTCCGTTACCCGCGAACAAAGGCTTACTATTATTTAAATACTGTACTTCGAAAAAACAACAACAATAAATATTGTTTTGTCATAAAGCATGAGTTTCGTACGATCAGTCCCATCAAAAAACAATAGTGTTTCCACTGTAAAACCTTCACTGCCATATTTACCAAAATTACCACCACGTCTACCATCGAAACCGTATATCTATCTGTACAAAAAGTATAATTTTTTCTTAAAGTTTTATTTCATAGACCAACTGTTCCTTGTAATATATCAAAAATTGAAAGAAAAGTTCAACTATCATCAAATCCTAATCAAGTTGATCTTGATGAAATTGTTAAGTAAATAAATTGATTAATCATATTTTTCCTTTGAAATTAAATTTTTTTATTTTTTTTTTTAAGTAATTTATCAACTATAGTCAAACGATCAGAACAATCATTAACACCTATTAAATGTTCACATACAACTACAAATGTTCGTCGAACAGCATCATTACATATAAATAATCAACGAAATCTTTCAAATTCTTTTGTTAAAACATCTAATTCTCATCACGAAATATTAATAGATTCAAATTTAGATCTATCTCGATTAAATATTCAACATCATTTATTACGTAATATTGAAAAATTCTCTGGTATTAAATGTTCATTACCATCGGCAACATCAACAATACCAAATACATTTAAAGGTCTTGAAAAACATACTACACCAACAAAAACTAAACAAATAAATACTTCTTCATCATTAATTGTTAGATAATTATTATTTTTCTTTTTACTTGAATATTTATTAAGATATTTGTATAGGATAATCAAATAACACCAACAACAACAAATGGAAAAGTGAAAAGTCCATGGCGATTACGTTTTGAAAAATTTTTAAATCATCAAGAACTAACACCATTGTCACCAACTAATGAATCAATTGCTTTCAAACCAGCTGAAGTAAATATTTTGTTTAAATAAATTGAAAATTTGTTAAATATCATCTATTTGTAGACTTCATCATTGAATAAAGAAAATCGTACACCATCATTTCGACTTCCTACACGAAGAACAAGTAAAATTCATTTCATATCGAAACAAAGTAAAGAAAAAAAAAACAATTATCTATTTACGATCAAAATTTATTTTAATTTTATTTTCTAGATGATTAAAATGAGATTAAAGGTACAGTTGCCTTGAAATGGGTAATCAGACAATAATTCAATATATATATATTATTATTATTTTTGTTTATTATTTATCAGATTGTGAATAAATAAAATATGGAATTAAAAAATGTTTGTTCTCATTATCAATTTATTTTTGATCATGTAATACGAAAACAAAAGAGAATACAAGAAGTGTTGAATACATATAAACTATCACCATTGTGCCCATCGTAGAATTAGTGTGATGATCCTATGCTAAAATTTCTGAATGATTTTAGTTCGTAGAGTTTTCAATTCATTTGAAAAATTTTATTGTAGAACTCACGTTATGGTTTTCGAAAAAAAATATGAATAAGTTTTCAGTCGATGTTTTCCAACTACTCTCTCATAGCTACAGAGTCAGAAACTAATGAACATGTTTTCACTAGTCACGAGGGACAGAAGAAGACCAACAGACATTGAGCATGTTTCCATAGTGATCGAGACCAATGGGTATTAGATTCTTTTCTCAAAGGTCCTTAGCAACGGGGAAAAAGTAGTAAATAACATTAACAGCAAAACTTAACATTTCCAGACTTTTCTCAAAACTTGAATTGTCGAAATACATGTTCGAATTTTCGAAATAATACAGTTTTTGACTTTTGCGCACGTAAAAAATTATATTCAAGATTTCAAGGGTGATGGACAGTGATGCATTAATTCGTTGCAGTCGTCATATGATCCATATCAGTGTTTGTGAGCTTATCAAAATACATAATAGTGCATTGAGATCTGCAGTAGATATCATGGATATATATAACAAGCTTATTTGCCCGTTAAGTTACTACGAGTAGTTAGAATAATAAGCGTGCTGAATTAAGAACAAGGATTACAAAAACGAAAACAGCAAGTGAATAGCAATCAGGCAAAAAAAATAGAGTTCCAGTAAAAAAAAATTATCTATTCAAAGTGCAAAAATAAACTAGATGACATTCGACCTTCACTCAAGTGACAAATGCAATGTAAAGCTTCCAATGTCACTTGACTGATAAATTGGCATTTTCTAAAACAACGAATAATCATACCAACGATTTGATATAAAATGTGATTCTTCACAAGATAGTCAAAGGAATATTGGAATCGGGGCTTCTCTTTTTTTTTATTGGTGTAGATCGAAAAAGTTACGTTTGGATCAATCAGATGATCAAAATCAGAAAGAAACTGCGAAGCAGTCATTGAAAAATTCATTACGAAGAAAATTTTATTCACGGATACAAACATTATTTTAAAGAAAACTTTCGATTGATCGTTTGATTCTGTCTGATTCATAAGGTATCATCATCTGTCGGAATTATAAGCAAAGAGAGTGGTGGCTAACTTTTGTTGATGTCTTCGTTTTATTGATTTTCAGGCTTAAAAACAACAAAACTCTATGGAAATGCAACTTTATATTGAAGATTAGAAAATGGATGCTATCGATTCGATTATGAAATTTGATCTTCGAATTTGAACGAGTATTTTCCGACTTCGGCTACTTAAGGTCATTGTGACAAACAGTGACAATTTTTGATAACTGCATTAACTAGTCAGTTAATTCATCGTTTTGTATTTAACGAACTTTATTTTTCTCATAAGCGTTAATTTCAACCAATTTTAATGGTCAGTCGAATATTTATCATCGCAATGCTTAAGAATTATTCGAACATTTTGCCGGTCAACTAAGAAAAAAAGTCTTTATTGGTGCAACCTAGTTTTTTTTTGTACATTCACTTAAATGCATAACTTTATGTCAATATTTGATAGAACTGAAGAACAGAATTTAAGTGAAAAAATGTCTTCGTCACAAGGTTCTTAATATTGATCAAACTATTAATGATCAAATTTGATTTAAATCTCTGAATCTTGAAAATTACATACCAACAATTGAATGCGGTCTTAATATGGAAACAGTTGTACGAAGCTATATTTTTAAAGATGAAAAGGGAATAGGCTCTCATTTTTCTAGTATCGAATTCATTGACTAAATATAATTCAATAAGAAAATAGCTGGGAAGGTCTGCCTTCTGAAGATAAAATGAAATTTACAAAAATAGTCATTTAGATCAATCTTATTCCATATCGGATATAATTGTTTGAATTCTATCATGAAAATAGTCTTGATTTATTTGTTTAACTAAAATATATGAAAATCCTCGTTAAATACAAAATGATCATTTGACAATGAAAAATCTTATATTCAAATACCTATATTTAACATGAAAACAAATTGAAGATAAAATAAAATATGATTTAACTTATCGTTCACGATCACAAAAGCAAATCTTAATGGAATATCATTCAAATCATATAATACTAACTTTTTATTATATATATTGAAAGGAATTTAATGAAGAACTAATTCTGAGTTGTATATGTAAGAAGATGAAACTCTTTCTTCGTTTACTTTTCTAATTTCATTTCTTAATTAGATATTTGTGATGTAGATGCTGATGAAACATCAAGTGTGACATCCGGTGACAATTGGTTGAAACTGATCATATTAGTACATGAATAATGATATATAAAATTGTTATGCAAGTATTCAATGAGAATTAACCAGTGACTTAACAACATATAACGATGAATAATTTATTGAAAAGAAATGTTTGTGCCATATTAACAAATATTTTTAGTCCGTTTATTCTTGTGGGTCATGGCAAATAATAATTCTTTGTAATGTTGTTCACTTGTACAAAAGATTATTTTGGGTTTTTTTTTTGTACTAATGTTACTTGTTGATTTTTTCTGCAAACAACTATTGTACCGAATAAACCACAGATAGTTGTGAATTAATATGACAATTATGAAAAATACAGTTCTAAAATATTTCGAAAGGCATAGAATTTCAAGTGTGAATAATGAGGAAAATAATATTAATAAGAATGAAATAGAAGATACGAAATTTTTCAGTATTCGAGAAGCTAGTGAGTGAATGTAGGAGTTACGTAGAATAGTGACAAGTGTAACTGAAACGTTTTTAATGGCAACAACTTTGTCAAGAAATCGCAATACCTAATATGTGTACTAAATACTTGACTAGAGAAATACATGCACTATCAGTAGCATCTCATAGGTATATTTGAAAGGTTCCTATTGTTATTTATTCAAAACTATGACTTGAAACAAAATTTCTTTGAAGAAATGATTAGTGAGTTCTAGAAAAATATGATGCTTTGTTCAAACATGAAGCTAAATACTTACTAAGTTATTTTGATTAGGTGACACTCGTAAACTTCTGTTTCACTTCTTAGTCGATCTAAATACATGCTCCAAAGTTTGATATACTGGAGACCTCAATAGTATAGAAATTGGTAATCATAAACGTATTTGAAACTTGTTTTCTTTTCTATTGAATTATCATTTCTTCGCTGGTTTTAAATATTCTGTTTTAAATACTGTTCATGAAAAGTAATAGACTTCTCGTGTAAAATAAAACCTCATTTTTGAACTTTTCTGACGATTGTACAAAGATAAAAAAGCATTAAATTTCACTTCCGATCAAAAAGAAATTTCAAAGACAAAATAAGAGATCGAAATAGAATTTTGAAGTTCTAAGGTTTTTCATTATAGAAAAATATATAAATCAAAAGGTTTATTCTTGCACATTTTTATTCAACAATGTCTATTGTTGAACAGATTGACACATCCGTTTTTGAATTTCGAACTTATCTCATTGTATTTCTCAAACAAATACTATTCAAACAAACGACACAGAACAACAGAATTGAAATCATTTAAAATGATCATAGTCGTATATTTTGTTCGCTCATTATTTCTTTCATGCCAATGATACTATTGCACTAATATTTTTTGTTTTCATTCTGTAAGTATTTGTTTTTCTTTTTTTCATTTACGTTACATAAATAATTGATAGACATACTCGTGTACATGTGAATAAGCAAACTAATTAGCTGTGAGTTTTTCCCTGAAAAACATCATCTTCTCTAATTCTATATAAAGTCATCGTTTTCAATGTATCCATCCATTATGCTTATCTATCATCAATTGAATGAATTATTTCCATGCATAGTTAAGATACTCCTTCTGTTCCAGGTGTAACAATAATTCAAGTAAAGTTAGAATTGAACCATACAATCGATGAGCATTCTTTTCTTTTTTCCTTTGTTTTCATGCAATGAATTATTATCACATTCATAATTTATTCCATTGATCAAAGAACTTTCTTTTTACTTCTTAGTTTTATTTGTCTGTCGGACAGTTTCATGTCCGACACAGAGAAGCTGTCCTTATTAAAATACGAACGATACCGTGAAGGTCTTTGTTGTTTACAATACATGTCTATCATTGAGACATGTATTGGTTATCTTACTGGTAGATATGGTTCTATTGCGTTCTCTATAACACAGAATTTCTCTGTATGACGTTTATTTCTTAAGACAAAACAAAAATCAACTACATTTTCTTTTTTACATATGCGAAGTTCTTCCGCAAAGCTTGCATATTAGGATGATTTTTCAGATGCTGATCGTTGTAAAATACTCAGTGAACGCTCATAAAATGAAACTGCATTTGAACAGTCACTCATTTTGAAATAAACCGAACCAATGTTGTTGTAAGAAGTAGCCAAATCAAAATGATTTGAAAGAAGAGATTTTTGTAGGATTTTCAGTACTCTTTTACAATATGAAAATGCGTTCGAATAATCACCCATGTTATTACACATAGAAGCAATGTTGTTGTAAGGAGCAGCTAAACTGTCATTCGTTGGAGAGAGAATCTTCTCTTTGATATCAATGGACTTTCTATAATAGGCAACGGCATCTTCATATTTACCTTGACGCTTCTTCACTCATTCAAGCTGATGATAAATATATGTTTTTTTCCAGTCAGTTATTGTTTGAACAAGAAGGACATCATATACTTTTTGGGCTTTAGAGAATTGTCCAATTTTTATTAGTAGCACATCCAAGCGATCCCTAACCTTTCGCTTCAGGATAGATCTCTTTGCGCATGTATTCCGTAAG